AATGATCATCATATTGCAAGAATTCCAGCAATGTAAATTATATTCTGGCCGGGTAATTTGTATGAATTTTATGAGCTAAATAAAAAAAATATATATATACTTCACCGTGTATATGAATAGATGCACCGCGGAAAGTGAAAGTCCGGTTCTGGCAAGGTACCGCGTAAATGAGAAATCGCGGAAAGTGAAACCGTGTAAAGCTGGGTAATACTGTACTTGAAATAGATTTGCCCATTTATTTGTTTATTTATTTATTTATAATACTTGCAGTATATTTACTTGCAGTATATTTAATATATTACAAGTGTTTTCTTTAATTTATATACTTGTTTCACGAAAACGGGAGGCTACCATTATACCAGGTAGGTGAAGTTGACCAGACATTTATGGTGATCATTAAGGACCAAACTCTGAATCCATGACGTGACTTCTGTTCATCATTTATATCCTAAATTTACCACTGTCGGTAGTTTCAAGAATTAACTCGGTCATTTACTGAATATTCTTTGTAAAAAATAAATTTTAAATGAATTATTTATAGGAGATAAGTATTATGATCAGTAAATATACAGATATGCATTACTGACCACCTCCGAACACAATGACGGCTAAAAATAGCCACAGGCGGTCACAGTCAAGGTCACTTTCCCTTTCTTGTCGCTGGCCAATGGGGAGGGGGGGGGGTGGTGATGATAGCAGCTATGTTTATTACCGGGGTATATTGTTCTTTTACGGTATGTTAGACAGGTTTATAATACATTTTTCTTATTTTAATATACCGGTAATCTTCATTTTAATCCAGCTTCCCAAACGTAAGTTTCAGTATAAAATAATTAGTGGTAGGACCTTGTGAGTCGTTTACTGTATACATAAATTATTTCTGCAATTCTTCACAAACAAAACACATAACTCAATTGAACATGTGATGTCGAATGTGAACTGTAAACACTGCATAACCCTGCACCAAGCCAAGCCATAACAACCGTTCGAGTGGAATCGCGTTAGAGCAAACGCGTTCGCATTTTACAAATATTGTTCCTCTATTCATCAATCGCGTTAGAGCCAATTCGCGGTGTCAAAACACGCGTTATAGCAGAACTCACTGTATTGTCAATTTGTAGTTGAAAGATTTTATCCTCAATAGATGTAGGTTAACATTTCACCTGTAGGCAAATGCTTAAAAAACGCCTAAGTAAGGAAGCATATTCCTTTAACACATAATATCTGACCAGTATGGGGAGGATCATCATGTCTCCGTCAGGTTGTTTTGGAGTGGTGGTCCAGCAGGCGTCACGGATTTTTTTTTGGGGGGGGGTGGGGGCCACGGACTTATATGCGATCGGACGTTGTTCGGTCGGACCCTAACCGGCGCATGACTGTACTCAGTAATATTCGATACCATAATATCCTGACCAGTTTTCCCTGTGATAAAGCCATAATTTTGAGCAGCATATTACTGTACTCATTTTGTACTAAATATACTGTGCTAAAGGACTAAAATTTTTATCTCTTGAGCAAATTATGAAAAATTTTTATTTAAATTAATTGTCATCTCTCAATGACTCCAGCAATGCAAGTCAAGTCTGTGACATTTTATAAGAGAAAACTGTAAGCCTAAAACAAAATTCATCCCATTAATTATTATCAATCCGTCTGCTCCTCCCCTGCTGGCTGGGAGGAGGGGGAGAAGTGGGGGTGTCGACTTCCAGGAGGGGAGATTAACACTAACTCAAGGATTATGAAAGGCAGGGGGTTTAATTTTTTTGCTTATGAAATGGCACTGACTTGACTTATGAGAATATAACTTGCTTTGCTGGAATTCTTGTATGGTAGCAATTAATTTGAGCATAAACATCCCATATTTTGCACCATACATAATAATTTTAGTAATTAACTTAGTACATTTGCGTACAGGGTGTGATAATTTATGAGGTTGCTCAGATATTGTGGTTGCAGTTTCTATGCTTCTTGATATCATTAGTGTATAATGTGTCTCCATATGCCCTGATTTATTTATTGTTCAGTTGTCTAAATACAAATGTAGCTCAGTCGAGCCATCATATATCAATTAATTTTAAAATATAAATTATAATGTAAAATGTTATAAGACAATGGTTTAGTAGTGCTGTTAATGTGTGTGCTGTGTAACTGTCTTGACATGTCACCTCACCACCTGACTCCTGAACAAACTCTTCATCAACTTCTTCAAATCCTAAAGTGTGCTTGGCAAGCGCACACTACTACTACTACTTTGCTGTCACTCGGAATTGGTGAGTCATGAGGTGACTAAAGAGGGCGATACTGGACCCACAGGGTTGTCCACATTCGTTGCACATGTGGAGGGCTGCGTCTAGTGCGGGAGGGGCGGTGGCAGTGTTTTTCCGGCGTTGGCGCTTGTCTGCCTCGGTTTGCAGTCGGGTTAACTCGAAAGTATTGACACCTTCTCGTGTGGTGCTCCTCCAATCATTACGCTGTGGTGTAATCGACTCCTAGGTGAGGGGGTGGATTTGGCACTTTTTCAGTTTTCTTAAGACCATCCTTATTTCTTTTCAATTGCCTGCTTGCATTACGTTTACTATTCGTTAGGTGACTGTAAAGTAGCTGCTTTGGCTGTCTACTGTCGTTCATGCAGGTAACATGGCCAGTCCAGCGTAGTTGTTCATGGATAATGGTAGCCTTGATGCTCCTACAGTTGGTGTCAGCAAGAATACTGGCATTTGTTCTCTTGTCTTCCCAGCGAACTCGAGAGGATGGAACGTAGATTTTGTTGGTGAAGGCTTTCAAGTGCCTTATGGTGCATCCTGTATGTGACCCATGTCTTACTGCTATATAGCAGGGTGGGGAGGACCCCTGCTCACTATACGTACAGCTTTGTAGATAATTTCAGCTCCCCATAGCTGAAGACATGGTTTCAAAGTCTGTAAAAGGCTTGAAATGCACATCTGATCCGATGCTGAATCACTTCATCAATGTCTGCAGTGGTTGACAGGTGGGTGCTGAGACACCGAAAGTGGGTAACATTAGAGAGGGTAGTACCGTTAAGCTGGATGGATGGTGGTGGTTGTGTCTGAACCAGGGGCAGGTTGAAAGAAAATCTGAGTTTTATTTACATTCAACTCAAGACGTATGCGTATGTACAATCAGAAGTCGTGTTGCAGTTTTGCCCGAAGATTAAATATAACCCGTGAAACATTATGAGAGCCGTACCACAAGGCAGAGCGCACCAAAAGTTTTAGCCTTTCGGCATCTGTTTTCACCAAATTTCATGACACATCTTTTGTCTTTCAGTGTGAGCAACAAGGGTGAGGTCGTCTGCATACTGAAGTTCAGTAATGGAAGCTGCCGACACCTTTGTTCTTGCCTGGAGTCGTCTTATGTTGAAAAGACCCCTCTTCACGCGGTACTGGATGTCCACCCTGCCGGCTTAATTGGCACTGGTGAGAGTAAGGAAGGCAGCCAAGAAAATGGTAAAGAGAGTTGGTGCCAGTACACACCCTTGCCGTTGTGCAGGACACTGCCATTCATACTATCATGAAGTTGACTCACAGTGGTGATGAATTTTGGTGGGCAGCCAAAACAGCTGAGGTTCCACCAGAGGGCTACCCTGTTGACCGAGTCGAAGGCCTTGGTTTGGTCAATGAAAGCCATGTACAGGTCACGATGCTGTTCTCTGCATTTTTCCTGTATCTGCCGGGCAGCAAAGATCATGTCATTGGTGCCACATAATGGTCTAAAATCACATTGAGATTCTGGGGGGAAGTTTTCCGCCTCAGGAAGGAGTCTGTTTAGGAGGACTCGGTTGATAATCTTGCCAGCTACGGAGAGCAGTGAGACCCCACGGTAGTTGCCACAGTCTGACCGTCTCCCTTGTTCTTACAAATATTAACAATGGAGGCATCTTTAGAGCTTGGGGGATTTCCTTCTTTTCCCATATATTCTCCAGGAGAGAGTGGAGACAGCTGGCAAGCAGAGGTCCTCCTGCTTTATACACCTCGGCTGGGATTCCATCAGGCCCTGAGGGTTTGTTATTTTTCATCTGTTTGATGGCAGTAGCTACTTCATCCAGGGATGGAGGATAGCTGAGGTGGGTCAGCAATGAATGGTAGTGCTCTTTCCAGTGCTGAAGGAGGCCTTCATCATCTTTAATTATGAAGTTACTGTCAGATGAGCGGAGTTATTTTAAAAGATTGCTTCATACTCATCCCAATAAAAATATTTTTGTTCTGGGCATTTGAACAAATTTCTGAATGATTGCATCATGCTCTAATGCGTTCTGAGTGAGTGGGTGGGCTAGCTGCATGGGGAACTTAGGCCGTAGGCTTGTGCACTGTGATTGGCTACAACTGTCATGTGATTGCAGAGGATCCCTGTGATTGGCTGATGCTTCTTTTAGCCTATCTCCTGAAGCACTAGCTTTGTTCATAGTCTGCTGCCATTGTACAAGCTTTTTCCCTCACTCACTACTGTTTTTGTATATGATCTGTTTTGTGCAGTACTGTACATAACTCTACCAGGTTACAATCTGCCAAGAATTCAGTGTTAAGATGTAAAGAGGGATAACGATAAATAATATCTGAAACAAGGAATAATATGCATAGAAATGGTGTGTAATTGCGTAGCCGAGTTGCTGACTCCCCACCCAGTAACAGTTGGAGCACGTGAGGCTGAGCTGTGAGCTATGTTGTTGTTCAACCCGTAATTTTGGGTACATATTGGCAATGTTCTTCATTTTCTTTTACTATGTTATATGCATGCACAATTATTCATACAGATTGTGCCAAAAAAAATATATATAAAGAGGTAAAAAACATAAGAGGTAATATTGTAAGTATTTCTTACATGCTTAGCAGTTAACCTACAGAGCAGGCAATGGGGGACAGTGTGGGGGAACTCTCAGCTGTTCTCATCTCATGTCCTATGAAATAATTGCCAAATGGCATTGCAGTATTTTTTATCTATAATTATTTACTGTATCTTTAAATTTTTTTTATTTTTTGCAGACCATATCCATGTGAGGTGTGCCACACAGCCTTCAAGACCCGTGGTAATCTATACAACCACATGAACACTCACACCGGCCTTAAAAAGTTTACCTGTGAAATCTGTGGCAAACAGTTTAATCATCTGACATCACTGACTTTGCATGTCAGGTCACATACAGGTAATGCAATATTTTGGTAATTTGTTTTATGCAGTATTTTAAGATACAGTCAACCCTCGCTTTACGCGGTCCCACATTCCGCGTTTCCTCGTTTACGCGGTACCCTGCCGAAACCGGAATGCTCACATTCCGCGGTGCGTGTACCCCTTTACACGGAGAGTGGCTGGCGAGCCGCACCATTTTTTAATCCAAACCTCCCGCCATCTCTCCCGCCATCCGCCATGTTGTATAAGCGGCGCGAGCAGGGTGCGCACAAGGTCGCCCAGTCATCAAAACATTACCGAGTTCTTCACCCGCCACCCACCACAGCCGGCCCAAGTCAGTGATAGTGAGGATATGGACTTATATGGACTTTGAGGGGTTTGACAAAGAGGCCCTGCAAGCCTCTGTGGTGGATAGTGATACAATTGATACAAGTGATACAGGTGAGGGCCAATAATCTGCCCTCTGCCTCGGAACCAACCTCCATCCCCGTGTGCCCAGCCATCTTTTCTACTAATGTAAGTGTTCAAAAACCTAATATTATTGATATTTCTCTTAATTATTAATTGTGTGTGCATACCATCATAAAATTAAGAAGTTATTTTTACTACAACGTAGGTATTGTGTCTGAAAAAGTGGAGTTTGGGGGTCGGCCTGGTCTCTATTTCAATTAATCCCATATGTTATGTTGTTCACTTTACGCGTTTCTCACTTTACGCGGGCCGCCGTGGGTTGAATTAACCGCGTAAAGTGAGGGTTCACTGTATACTATATTGTTGTGTTTGTTGTTCACTTATATAAACCTAAGTTGTAGAACTGTTGTACAAGAACAGGAGAATCGACACGGAGGAATGTGAGTTCAATATAGACCATTAAGACTCATTTACGAACATTTCTAAAGCAACTTGCAAAAGGGGTGTGGTTATCTGTGGTAGGCAAGACCTTAGAGTCAGCCAGGTGAGGGTGTGTTTGAAGAATCAAAGTGGTGTAAAAGTAAATTAAAGGGGAGATACTTACCTTTTGTTGGGTGTATTTACAAATGCTCAAGCTGTAATTTATTAAACCAAAGGAACTTAAGAGCCTTAATTGATAATGCAGTGGGGCTCAATCCTAGCCCCCTCCTTGTGGGGGGGATTTTAACTATGGCAATATCGACTGGAGAAATGAACATCGACTGGAGAAATGAAACCATGCCAAATGAAGTAAATAACCCCACTACTCTTTTTGTAGACACTCTGAGAGACAATTTTCTGTTTCAGCATGTTAAAGATCCAACTCATTACAGAGGGGAGCAAAAACTCAAACTGCTGCACCTCATCATAACGAACGAGGAGGGTATGGTGGCCAAGCAAGAACGCCTACGAGGAGGGTATGGTGGCCAAGCAGGAACACCTAAACCCCTTTGGCACTAGCCATCACGTAACGTTGTCATTCAGATTTAAATATTACTTGGTTCGTGACAAAACCAGGCCGAGGTGCAAATATTACAAGGGTAATTATGACGGTTTGAGGGAGGAGATGAGGGGTATCCTCTGACCTGACCCGATAAGAAATAAGAATACAGACACTACGCTGCGTATCATAGCCAGTAAAGTGAACCAGTTGATTGATGAATATATACCTAAGACCAAAACCAGTTCCCCAGGAATACAAGGAGACCGCTGCACATTAATCATGCGGCGATCAGCAAAATTAAGAAGAAAACTCAGGATTTCGAGACGTAGATTAGGACAAATGATGAGCAAGACAGGAGGATGTATGCCAGATCCAGGTACCAAGCAAAGTCAGTGGGTAGAATGGCTGAAAAAGAGTTCCAGAGATGGATTGCGAGTGAGGTCAAGTCAAACCCAAAGGCAATTTGCCACTGTGCAAAGTTGAAATTAAAAATGCAAGTAAAAATATTGGACCCGAGGCTTTACGATGGTAGTTATGCATCCTAGAGTGCCAAGAGAGTCGGGACAAAGAAACTGCAATAATAGAGACAATGTGAAAAGGACCTGAGTGTGTATGTTGACAATGATCTGACATTTTTGGGCCAATGTGAGAAGGTAAATCCAGCAACTAAACTATTAGGTCTTATAAGAAGGTCGTTCAAATATCTAGATGGGCCATCCCTCGTAACGATCTTCAAGAGTGAGGTGCTTCCCTGCCTTGAGTACTGTCACCCTGTTGGGTCTCCGAGATTTGCTAGGGACTGTCAGTTGATTGAAAATATCCAAAGGAGGGCCACCAGACTGGTGCCTGCACTTCGGCACCTCAGCTGTCCAGAGAGATTAGAGCACCTGCATCTGCCTACTTATACTACAGATGGGCAAGGGGTGACCTAATTGAGGTGAATAAACATCTCGGAGGGCATTATTCAGTTGAGTGTCTATATCTGGAGCTGGCAAAGTGAGAATTGTGAACTCCTGAAACAGTCTTCCAGAGAGTGTTGTGTTGGCACCGAGTGTGAGCTGTTTTAAGACTAAACTTGACCAACACTGGAGCAGGTTCAGATACATTCAGGAACCAGTGCGTGCCCAGTACTTGCCAACAGTGTGTAACAGCGACGTGGCGGACCGCCCAAGCAGCCAACAAGCCTATCAGTGGTGAAGAGGATAAAAGAAAAAAAAGTATGTACAGTGAGAGAAGCATCAAGCGAGTAATATGTGTTGGTAGTAAAACTTTTTATTGGTGTACAATCCCCCCAAAAAGTATCGTCAGCCTAGGGGTCAATGTGATTTGAGACTTTCTGAGCAATGTTACTCAACCTGTTTCTGAACAGTTGGTAGTTTTATATCCACAACCTTTGAGCATGTATTGGTAAAATATACAGTATACGTTTTAGAACGATACATACATTAATGGATTTCTTGTTAAATCGATTTTATTTTTATTTTTTTTTTTTTACGGGAATTAGCCCACCCGGGCACAGATCGAACGACCCACAACGGGGCCTTGGGGGCAAAAAAATAAGAATAGAAATAAATTAAAAATAGAAAAGGAAAAGGTTATATTATTCTACACTCTGAAGATACCGCAAAGCCAGATTTTTAAAGTGAGATAGATTTTATGAGTATGGAAACACAGTAGAAGGCAGAGCATTCCACAGTTTTGTTGTGTGAGGAAAGAAGGATGTACTATAACGGATTATTCTAGTGTGACCGACAACTACAGAGAAACGGTGGGCTCCGCGGGCAAGACGTGTGTTACGAGTCCACGGCCTTGCCGCGGTACACAGGATGCCAAATCCACCGAATATTGCCCGTTAAAGTACCTGTAAAAGAGAAAGAGTGAAGCAACAGTAAAACCTTGATAAATCGGACTTCAAGATATCGGAATTCGCTTTTTTCAGACTCTTGGATACTCTGGTCACCCAAAATACTTAAAAAGAAAATAAGAAATGGGGAAGATTAGTAAAAAATCTTATGAAATGAACCACACTTATTGAATACTGTACTGTACAGTGGTCTAATCAGATTTGCTTCAGGCCTACTGAGAACTAAGACACTTGAGTATGTAAGCATCCTGGGGCTGATTAGGTGTTGCCACATTCGTCAGGTTTATTTATTTATTGATTCAGTATTATATTCTCATATGATTGGCCATTTATGGTTATACTGCCAGACTGGGGGTCACTAATTCTAAGGGGAAATACTTAACTCTAATCTTAATTTCTAAGGGTCGCTGCCACCAGACCCCCTCTGGACAGCATGTAGCTCGTTAGGTAGCGTGCAGAGTGGATTAGGCATTGGGTTAGGTTTTTCATTGACCAGATCGATAAGGGGAAAGAAGGGTGAAACCATAACATGTCTTAATTAATTTATTCCTTATAAAGCATACTGGTAAAAAACATACAAATGAATTGGCCTTCCTCAGAAGAACAACGAAAATGTTGGTTACCCCGCTCGGCACCAGACGTCTTACATTAAAGGCATGTCATCCACATACTTATTGCATAACAATTTGTGACCTCCTTACCTCGGTCATTCCTTCTTACACTACCCCTTAACACATCAGACTGCTCCACCTGTATGGAGTATAGCACCGTCTCAACACACCTGTTACACTCTACACCTGCAGGTATGGGACTCCTTGTAATTTTTAGGTATACATAACAGGCACCTCGTTCGCACACCGTCCTCGGTGGGTAAAGACGAGGGCTTCACCAAGAGACATACCAGTACTATTTCTACGCCTGGTATTATAGGTCTCTCCAAGTGACGACCACGGAGTTTCTCACGGTCTCCTTATTTGTTACTACTCATTTGGAGTGGTGTGCTGGGGATCCACAGGTTCACAGTGGATTGGCATAGCTGGGAGTAGTCACCACCTGGTGGGACGCTCACAGGGATAATGGCTGCCGCGCAGCAAGGCACTCCGACCGCATGGGACCTGAGGTGACGGTAGAACGGAGGGTACTGAGAAATAATGCCTGACGTGCGGTTATCACACACCCTAACACATTACTATTACACTTATACATCAGGCAAAGCTTTAAACTGTAATAACTTCTATATAAGCCTTAATTATAGGGCAGGATATAACCCGATAGGACACTGACCTGAGGTGACGGTAGAACGGAGGGTACTGCCCCGCTGCTCATCACCGCCTTCAAACCATGATCCACACTTAGTCCTACAGTACACTAGTCCGGCTCAACTGGACTTTCCCAATCATGTTATGGATACCCTGAGTTCTCCTTAATGCTATGAATGCATACAATTAATATTATATAACTGAATCCGGGTACAATACAACACATGGTCTAGTAACATTGAATAGGTGAGTTATCCTTTATCAATGTTTCCTGTTTTCTTAGATTCTACAAGCGCTGTGGATTTAAATGTTATACAGTGATCCCTCAGTTAACGAGCGCCTCGGTTAACGAGATTTCGGTTAACGATTTACCTTCCATAAGATTCTTAACTTTGGTTAACGAGCAATCCCTCGATTAACGAGTTTTTTACGAGCCGACCTCAACATGTTTTCGCTTGCATTTGGCGGTCCACCAGCTGTAGTATTAGTCCGCCAATGCA